ATATTTTGGATATTAGTCCCTTATTGGAGGCGTTGCTTGGAAATATATTTTCCCATCGAGATGGTTGTCTCTTTACCTTGTTGACGATTTCTTTTGCTGAGCAGAAGCTTTTTTTAGTTTGATGTAGTCCCCTTCATTTATTTTTGCTTTTACTTCCCTTGCTTTTGAGGTCAAATTCATAAAATCCTCCTTAAGTCCAAGGTCCTTGAGTTTTGTTCCTATTTAGGAATTTTTAACTAGATTAAACAGTCATTTTTAGAATGAAAGATTTAACAGTATTTTGAAGGTCATTGTCATCAATATTTATCTGCAATGTGCAGACAGGGCTCCTGGGTCTATTCCATGTTACACATCTCCTTTGAAGTCCTGGAGAGTTTTTCCCACTGAGCAGTTTTACAGGGCACGGAGAGGAATAAAATCAAGGATTCAACATGCACTACAGGTCCGAGAGAGCTGTATCAAAAACTCACACACCAGGCTATTTAATTTGTTGGCCTGCTCAGTAAAAAGATACCTGCTGAGCAGGGTGGGTTTGAAGAATCAGATGGAGAGAAATATAAATGAGTATAATTCACACTATTACTTCTTGGCTGCGCTCACACACGGATGGATGAAAAGTTTTTCCTACCCCAGAGCTGGCATATTTCTCTTGCTACTTTCTCTGAGCTACTACCTTGGCAGCTGAAAGTCGGTGAAAAAATCACACAATTGAGCCGACTAGGTTTTTACTTTCAAGTTATTTTAAACTTCCAATTGGCATTGCTTGGTAGTTCTACTGTTTTTCTTGTTTTGGTTTTTTTTTTTTTTTTTTGGTCGGTGTTCTTTTCTACTCCTCGAGGTGGCTCTTTTATACCTTCCTCTTGCCCCCAAGACCACCATATCTTCTTCAGCAGGTGACTTTGCCTCATTCTATATGGAGATTTAAAAAAATTTCACCAGACCTAATCTTGCTACCTGTCACCACCAATGATAACACTACTTCCATCTGCACCCATATCTTTCTCTCCTGCCCAGTTCTGATGAAGTGGTCTTCTTCCTCCAAAACCAATCATCTTATGTGAACTCAGTATGCTTTTTTGTTTTATGTAGGCAGTTTGTAAATTGCCCCCGCCCCCAATTATACCCATCTCAAGTATTCGCATCCTTGTGCAATCTCCTGACTTGGAGTGTTCCCTGGATTTAGTGACTTGTTTCTAACCAGCAGAATATGGCAAAAGTGATGGGTTGCTACTTCCGAGATGAGGTTATAAAAGGTTGTGACTTCCATCTTGCTTGCGCTCTATTTGACTTGCTTGCTATGATGAAGCAGTCGTGCAAACTTTGTCGTTAGGACCTTGTCTCTTTATGTCTGGGCTCTGCTGGCGTTATTCTGAGGTGCATTCTTTACCTGAGGTGGTGATGATGTCTACGAGTATCTCCATGTTTCCATCATATTCATGGGCAGCGTAACAGACCACAGAGCTTACAGAATATTAAAACAAGTTTGGTCTCTGAGTTAAAATCTTTTCATCACATTTGATAAATATAAAGTTAGATATCTTAGTGTATATTTTTCTATAATTGGCTGTTAGTTGACCTTCTTCTTCTTACTTTGCTCCCAATTTCAGTCTCTCGCTCTTACCCCAGTTCAATATTCTAACCTAGTTGACATAAATGAGGAATTTGTTAGGCACAATCCATTTCCTTGGGAGAGAGAAAGAGATAGCTATTAGAAGAAGATGCAGGATTTTCTTGATGATCTAACATAATATTGACCTGACAGAAGAACAGGAGGAAAGAGCTGCTGCTCTTGGAAGCTCTCCACACTGTGGTCACTTTCCGCTTCGCTTGCATTGGGAAGCCTGACTTTGGGTGACTATGGTATTCTGCAGCCCAAGGCTGAACCAGTGTTTATTTTTAGCCCATTGAGAAAGAAAAGCTTCCCAAAGAAATCAGAGGTATTTTTCAGGGGCTAGGTCCACAAACATGTTTCTCATCTGCCCATAACAGGTGCCACGGGCTCCGCCATGAAGGGGCATGTGAGTATTGGTTTTTGTGAGATCCTGAATGCAAGTGGGGAATTCGGAGGATGGTGGAGAGTCATGTCCATCCAAGTAGGAAATTCCTCTTGTGCCTTCCTCTGGATATCTGGCATGTGCATGGCATATATAGTAAGCACTAAATAGATATGTATTAACTGATTTGAGTAACTGAGTCATATATAGACCAGCAAGATGTGGAGGTAGAAGTAAAAAAAAAAAATGCTACCTGAATAGCTAGCTGCTTGATGAATTTAATCCTTGCGCTCTGAAAAGACTCATAAGTGTTCCTTTGTATAATCAACTGATATTCAATTAACCTGTAATAACTACCTTAATAATTCTAGAGCAGTAATTTGAGTCTCTTGAAAAGTTGTCTAGCATTTTCCTTTGTTAGTCTGTTCTGGGGGAATGAGTCAGAAGTATTAATTACTGGACAGGGATTCATTTTTCTCTTTCTCCTTTTTTACTACAATGATGAGCATGTTGAATTAATATTAAATAATTCTTAAGAATTTTCCAATAATTTGGAAGTTATTAATAATTCTTAAAAGAAGAGAAGATTTTATTCAGTTGTGCAAGCACATGGCGAAAGACAACTGGCTTAAGTTGTTGAATTTCTGCTTCCTTTGAAAAACTGTTTAAGAAAGTGGAGAACATGTAATTACTCCAGTGGAATGATTATGGAAAAACTGGTCATCCTAGGTGGTTAAGTGCATGACGAAGAAACAATAAAGGCGTGATAACAGGAACCTCATCTGGTAGTGATCTCAATTTGCATTTTGGTTCTGCAAAACACAAATAGGTTAACTGGATACCAAAGAGCAGTGAACTAACTATGATTTTCATCTTTACATGCTGATTAAGAATTTAGAATGTAATATTTATAACACCACATGGTCAAATTATCCCTTCCACTTTCTGTACTTCTGAGGGGAGAAAGACAGAAAGGGCCACTTTCTTCACTTATGCAATTGATAACTATTAATTTTGTAACAATTTTCCAATGATTGCTTGCTGTAAAAATGTAAAATGGTGCCAGAAGGTTTAGCATGTATTATTCACACTGTAATTTTGTTTTATTTCCTTCTAGACTTTTTTCCAGTGCATATTTTTTAGAGTACTTGTAATTACGTTATACTTGTAATTTACTCTGACTTTTTAAAGCTTAGTGTTATAAATGTTACTTATGTTTATAGCAGCAAAAACATGAAAACAAAAGTAAATGTACCATACTCAATGGACACACAGTGCTCTCAAACATACTGGATATGAAAATAAAATAACTTATTTAACAATCCCCGTACAACTGGCTATCTAGACTTTATTTTTTGTTTCCGTTGTTACAAATGAGATAAATGTTGTAATGCATCTTTTTAATGCACATAGACCTTTCAGAATTTTGACTATTAGGAGAAAATTCTACAAGGGAAATTAGTGAGTGAAAATTTAGAAATCTCTTTTTAATGACTTTTGAAGCAAATATGATTCCGGGCCTAATTTTTTTCAAGTGACATTAACTAGCTTAGAAATAAAAAGAGAATTTATTAGATGAAAACGATTGTAAACATGGAACCACGGGAAGGGAAGGAGCATCTGGATGGCTGGACCCAGGGACTTAAATGCCCGGAGTTTTCTCTGACGCTTTCTTCCTGGGGCTCAGCGCTCAGCCTCATTTCATTCATTTGCTGGTCAAGTTTCTTTGTTTTTGTTTTTTTTCCTCAAGAGGGGACACAGGTTCCCCAAATTTTTGGGATCTGACAGTAAGTAACAAGGGATTGGATGTAGTTCCAGGAGGAAAGGTCCTG